TGTGTAGTGTGTGTTTTGTAGTTTGTGTTTTTGTGTGTGTGTTGTTCCTGTGTGTTTTTTTGTGTTTGTTGTCTGTGTTTGTGTTGTGTGGGTTTGTGTGTGTGTGTGTGTGTTGTGTTGGAAGCGGTTGTGCTAAGCTGAGCTCTGCCAGCTGGATGGTACACACAATAGTGACGCTAAGCTTGAGCTCTGCCATCTGGGGATGTACAGCACTGTGATTCCGAAGACTAGTGGAAACCCCAACCTAGCGAAGAGAGAGATATATCACTATCGCACCTCTTTACACTTTCCGTGATGTCTGGGGACGTTTAGTTTTACGAGCGGAGGGAAGGATGGGAGCTACAGACATTGGTAGGAGGATACTGTAGCGTCAACGGCTGATTCTAAGTCATGTTGGCAATTGGACTTTGTTACTGTGAATTTCAAACAAAACTGGGAGATTTCCTAGCGTAGTGGTGGACTCTACGCGCTATGGCTGAGGTCACTATTAGTTATATACACGCCCCAGACAGTTTATTGGTTCACCCATCTAGTACCGGGTCGGACCCTCCTTTGCCTCCAGAACAGCCGGAATTCTTCGGGGCATGGATTCTACAAGGTGTCGGAAATGTTCCACAGGGATGTTGAATTAGTTAGTAAATAAATAATTAAATCAATTTGTGTGGTACGGAATGATCAGTAAGACCCTGGTTCGTGTAGACTTAAAGAGTCTACGACTTTCAGAATGAAACTGATATGAGGTACATTATTAATAAATGTTAAACGATAAGAGATATCTAGATGTCTTTAGAGTTAATTCAGGAAACGGTAACTCGTTAAACAACTTTTCCCCTGGTGCCCCAAATTCCTAATGAGTTAATTGTTACATGATTAATTTAATCTAGTAATTATTCGACAAATAATAGTCACCACAATAATGAGAGTCACGTCACGACACACCATATCTCTTTCAACTATGCTGTGATGTTTAACATACAATTTGAATCTATCTAATCGAATAGAATCCACAGATTGCGAGTTGAAGAGAAATACTTTTACTAAAAGTATTAGTATATTAGTAACTGACTGACCCGGTCTCTCCAGAACTCCCAACAATGTTATTTCTAGGGTCGATTTTTGATGAATGTTTTGCTTTTTGAGCCATTCCTGAACCTGAGACCAGAAGCAGGCTACCTGAGGGCAACACCAGAACAAACGATCTGCAGAGCAGCCATGATGGTATGCCCCAAATATTCAACATGTTGTTGGTGGCAAGAATTCTGTACAAGAATTTTTGTTGAAAAGCACGAAGTCTTGAATCTTGCATTGTTTTGTATATCAACTCATACACCCTGTGCGATGGAATCGGGAACATCAAAATTCTTGCACGATTCTTGCCATTCTCCTTCGACCTCTCTCATCACCAAGTTGTTTTTTCGCCCACAGGACTGCCGCTGACTGGATGTGTTTTGTTTGTCGCACCATTCAGGTCACTTGTTTTTCCCATTCTAATGTTTAATCAAACAGTAACTGAATGCCTCGATGCCTGCTTTATTTAGTGCCGTGGAAATTACCACCAGGGTCTCAAAGTCAAACTTTGCTTATACTGATAGTGAGGATTCCTCCCAGGCACGATCAATCAGTCACTTGCACGAACCCAGTCAAATGGGTCAGTAGAAAAGTACAAGCATAACATTTTCCTTCACAATAGCAAGCCACGGCCACCTTGACTCACTGTCTGTAGGAGCGATCCATTTTTGGTGACGGAGGGGGAGGGTGTACCTAATAAACTGTCCGGTGAGAGTAGCTCCAGGTGTATCCAACAGAATGTGAACTCTGTCTCGGTATGTCAGAGATCAAAGGTTATCTACATATGAAACACATCCAACAGCTATGTACTGTTGACTCACAAGCATGGCTCCACAAAGTCACAACGACGCACACTGTTAGCCTGCCTTTCAAATGGCACCCTATTCCCTATATAGCGCACTACTTTTGACCAGAGCACTCTCTCTCTCTCCTCTCTCCATGCTCTCTCCTCTCCATGTGTGGGTCCACTGAGCTGGACACCATGCTGGCCCTCCATAAATG